GGAACGTTTGAATCCTGTGCTGAAACTACAATGGCTCTCCATCTTGGAATAAAAAAAGGACAAACTGATTGTTAACAACAGCTGAAATACGAGTAAAGATTAGGTAAGAAATCAACTTTTAACTTGTTAATTAATATTTTTTTTAGAGTACAAATTCTTAGAGCTATAAACAATAATATTTTACCGATTTGAACAACTTTTTCAACACATATTCAATTAAACACAGACTTAAATGTTTATTATAAGTTATTTCAAAGGCTCTTATTAGAGATTACATTTTAATTACATTCTTATTACAACTTACTAATTGCAAGATTACGTACTACTTACTAATTAAGTAATTGCTTACTGACTAATAATCCGTAGTCATTACGCAAATTCCGTAAATACATTGTATTGTCTATGACGTCGCATTGCTTAATTGCTTTGAGTTTGTTATATAAAAATTATTTTGAAAATAAGTTCCAAAGCGGTCACGCTTTAATTTAGTTTCTTTTTACTATAATCTCTAACATTCCAACTGATCGGCTAAGTCGGTAACAGGCAACCTTCCCATGACGTCATATCTTATTAAAGACACTATCTTTCTGTTTACGGCCTTATCGTCTTTGCCTACCTCGATGGGTAGGAGGCGTGATAGTATGTGAGTATCCACACCATCAATCCATGATTTATACTTTGCAATGCTGTTTGGCTTTAGTCCGCCATGCTGATCTTTTTTTATGATACCAAGCAACGAGGCGAACAAGTCGTGCGCCTGGTGGTAAGCAACATGGCTTTACATGATAGTTGGAATGTCACTCAGCCTTTTGAATCGCAAAAATCTGAGAGACACTGCCACAATGCCCCTGGGTGACCCTGACACATAAGTTGACTAGTCTCATGTGCCTGTAATTTCGCAAGCAAACCCTTACCCTTCAAAATCGGAACGCAGTAATGATCACATTACTGCTTGAGGACAGAAATACGTTAAACCTTCCCTTTTCTAACTTCCATGGACGAACTTATTCACAAGGAGCTCTACTACTACTAAACTAATGCGGGTCACTTGACATTGTAAAAATCTAGAAATACGAGTATGTTAATAATTAAGAACGTACTTCAGAAAAGAACAAGCGCGTAAAACGCATTTCTAGAGTTGAGCCATTTACCCTGCAATCGATTCTTGAAGATCTTTACCAGGGTGAGTTTGGCACGTTGCTACATGTTCTCGGTTCTCCTTCGAAATATGGGTATACAGAAGAATTTCGAAAATATCTTGAAAGTATAGAGAGTCCAATGAAAGAGTATTGCAGTGGTGAATAAGAAATTGGAGGTCTTGAGTACTGTCAAAAAACTTTGGGTCATATAATGAGTGATGATAAGTACGACTTGCTCCGACTAGTTATGCAAGAAAAATTCTGGGAAAACGATCACCTGGAAGAAGGCGTACTTCGTGGTTTAAGAATATCCGGATATGGTTCAACCTGAGCACAAGATCCTTGTGCCGTACGGCTGTGTCTAAAATACAGGCAGGTGATGGCGCCTCAAGAAGAGACAACCGCCCTCATTTATGATAACTTCCTTATCTCTCGCGTACTTTCACTAAGGGTACCATTACGACGCTATTATATGTAAGTTACATTTAATGTTTCATTTGACAGTATTTACGTTATACGACTTCTCGCTTCAAATAGCGACTTTCATCGCGTAAGCGTAGGAGAGAGTTTGAAAAATAAATTAAGCTTGTAGTATGAACCACACTTACACACCCGTATTTATGAACAAAAATAATAATAATAAAAAAATAAGTATAAAAAAAGTCTCAAGTTCGACTCAAGTCAATAATTGGTATTTATGAACGATTTTTTTGTCTCAGCTCAATCTTAACTCGGTCTCAAGATCGAGTTCAGTCGCACTTGTATAATAAAACCAGTCTATAGCTGTCTTAAATCTGACTTGAAAATATTTTAACATTTTTATCATTGCGTTATATGCGTTTTCTCTTGAGTTGCCCTGACATTTTTTTTATTTTACGTTTTTTTTTTTGTATTAAATTATTTTAAATATGGACGACTTTGAGGCTTTCATTATCTGGAGAACGAAGATGATTACTGTGGCGTAAGAGCACCTAAAAGATATCAGAGGGATCCTGACAATATCTTGGACGTACTGGATGACGAAAATTTTTTCAGCCGAACCAGGATGGAACGATGGAAATTTGATGTGTATTCTTCTTATTAAGTTGGAAAGTAATCTAAAGTAGGAACTATTTGATATTTATGAACATTATAAAAGATTCAAGTACCACTGCGGGGCAAACTACTAACATAGTTCACAATGTCAAAATACTTCTATAAATCCTTGTATCAATAATGAAATATTAAATATCAAAAGTTATAGGCTTACAAGAACCCAATTATGTACCTAGCTACAAAGGAACATCTCCAGTCAAAGAAACAACTGTTTTGTTTACTGCTATTGACTTGTTTTGGTTTTTCACACAGTTTGATGAATTTTTTAATAATTGTTTCCGCTAAAGAAAAGGTAATTAATTGTTTGTTTATTAACTGCCATAAACAAAATTCCACAGGCAACAAAACAATAAAAAAATTCCGATTTTAATTTTTGAAGAAATAAGTGCTATCATTGGCTACCGGCTTCAAAGTAAAACTTGACACTGACCTTGGATAAATGGAAAAAACATAAAACATCAAACTATACCTAGTCTCACTTAAGCAACAATTTCACTCGAGTCGATCTTAGTGATGAATTTTCCTAAGTGCGATTTTTGTTTTGTTCATAAATCGACTCATCCGAAGAACAGAATCCGATGGGATTATATAGAGAAAAGAGAATAAGTACGTTACGAGAATAATTTCGTTACGCAAACCAAGGCCTATATAAAGGTGTTTTGAGAATTTATATATCTTATTTCGTTTCGGACATATAAAATAGAACAACGGTCGATCGGACATCAATTCGCTATGAAAAATGAACAAAATGTACTATGTCCTGCGAATAAGTAGTCTTGCACATAGATCTTTGTTCTACGTATGAGTCGAAATACGGGTGACACTCTTTCACATCTTACCATTATAAAAGCGAATCACTTGTAATTCGAGTCAGAATAAATCCAACTATCAACCACGAGTATTGTTATTCAATCTCAACATAAAGCGCTGAGCCTTTTTATTTACTTTTTATTACCTTTTTATCTGCACAACATGTATAAATACTGACGATGCTATTTAAGGTTACATTATTGTATTAAATGAAGATAAATTAAGTTATTTTTACATATATTATTTATATACTTTACTGTGTCCCACTGCTGAACACCGTCTTTTATCTACGAAAGTGGAAAGAGCTCAAAGAGCTGTCCTGAAAGTGAGTCGGTATCTACCGTTTCTGTTCCCTACTGCAGACCTTTATACCTTTTGTGATGTTTTGTCTGTACGTCTACTATTTATTATTCACACTGTGCTTAAGCAACACTCCCTTCTAAACTATGATCCCTTGCCCCTTAAAAACAAACGCTTAAAACATAACGTCTGTCATTCCTCTACTCGGTGGACCACAGCTTTTTCACAAAAATTTTTCGGTATTGTGGGTGGATACTTGTATAATAAAATAAATAAAATAAATGAAATCTATCCACTCACAAAATTCAACTGCAAAAGAGTTGTCACTAATTATCTTAAAAATCTAAACTACGACGAAACTGAAAATCTCTTAATTGTTCCAACGTAAAATTATTATTAGTATCAAATTAATATATTTTATTCTTTCTTTATGGCTAATTCAGGTTTTGCACACAAGTTTACACACACGCAGACACACACACACACACACACACACACACACACACACACACACACACA